TGGTTTAAATACACCCATCAAAAGAAAGATTTGTAGAGTGGATTAAAAAACATGACCCAACTATATGCTGCTAACAAGAAACTCACTTGAAATTCAATGAGTTGAAAGACAGAAAAAGACGTACCATGTCATTTGGATTCTGTTGATTGATTGTTATCCAGATTTTCTGTATTCTTGCTGATTTTATTTCTACTAGTTCCATCAGTTGATGAGAGGGATGTGGAAGTCCCCACATGTAACTGTGGATTTGTCTATTTTTTTCTTCCAACTCTGTCAGTTTGTCTTGATCCAACTGACATATATATAAACACTCTACTCAACAACAGTGATGTACACATTTCATGTTCCCATAGAACATTCACCAAGATAAACTATATCCTGAGCTATAAAACAAACCTCAAGAACCTTAAAATAATTGAAACCATACAGAGGGTGTTCTTTAACCATAATGGAATCAAACTAGAAATCAGTAACAGAAAGACAACAGGAAATCTCTCAACACATCAAAATTGAACAGCACAGTTCTAAACAGTCACAGGCCAAAGAAGAAGTTTTAAAGGAAACTTAAAAATACATAGAGCAGAATGAAAATTAAAACACAACATACCAAAATATACTGGATGCAGCTAAAGCAATACAGAGAGGGAAATTTATATAACTAAATGCATACTTGTAACAAGGAAAGTTCTCAATAATCCCTCCCACAAGGAACTAGGAAAGCGCAATATAAACCCAAAAGCAAGCAGGAGGAACGAAATAATAAACATAAGAGCTGAAATCAATGACATTAAGAATAGAGAAAATCAATTAAAAAATAGCCTGGTTCTTTGGGAAAATAATTGATAAAATGGATACAAATCTAACAAGACTGAGAAAAATAAAGAGAGAAGATATGAATTACCAATATCATGAATGAAACAAGGGATATCACTAAAGATCCTTAAAAGGATAACAAGGGGATGCTATGAACAATTTTATATTCCTAAATTCAACCATTTAGAAGAAATGGACCAATTACTCAAAACCCACAAACTCTTAAAACTCAATCAAGATAAAATAGATCATCTGAATAGTCCTGTAACCATTAAAGAAATTTAATTCACTGTTTTAAAACTTCCCCAAAATAAATATCTAAGCTTGGATGGCTTCAGCTGCAGAATTCCACCAAACATTTAAAGAATTAAGACAAATTCCATACAAACTCTTCCAGAAAACAGAAGATGAGCTGACACTTCCCAACTCATTTTATGAGGTCATTATTGATACCTACACCAGACAAAGATGTTATAAAAAAGAGAAACCCCAGACCAATACCTCCCATGAACTCAATAAAATACTAGCAATACAAATACAACAATGTATAAAAAGAATTAAACACCATGATCAGGTGGATTTTTTCTAGGTATACAAGAATGATCCATCATCTGAAAAATTAGTCAATGTAATCTATCATATCAACAGACTACAAAAAGAAAAATCATGTAACAATTGAAGCAGAAAAAGCAATGGACAAAATGCAACACACATTCATTAGAATTCTAAGCAAGTTATGAATAGAGGGGAATGATCTCAAATTGATAAGGAGCATCTAACAAAAAACTTACAGCTAACATCATACTTCATGTTGAAAGACTGAATTCTTTTCACCTAATATTTAGAACAAGACAAGGATGTGAACCTTCACCACTCCTATTCAATGAAGCACTGGAAGATCTAGCCCCTGCAATAAGGCAAGAAAAAGAAATAAAGCCATGGAGATTGGAAAGGTAGAAATAAAACTGTTCCTATTTGCAGATGACATGATTGTCTACATAGAAATCCCAAGGAATCTACACATAAACTCCTGAAAGTAATAAGTGATTTCATCAAGGTTGCAGGATACAAGATCAACACAAAAAAAGCAATTGCATCTCTATATACTAACAAAGAACATGAAGAAACTGAAATTAAAAGCACAATATCATTTATGGTCACTCCAAAGAAAGTGAAATATTTAGGCATACACTTAAGACACATGTACAGAATCTGAATACTGACAATTACAGAATGTTGATAACAGAAATTTTAAAAGATCCAAATAAATGTTGAGATATACCATGTTCATGGACTGGAAGACTTTTCAATTCTCCCCAAATTATCTATAGGTTTAAGGTAACTCATATCAAAATACCAGCAAGGTAGACAAAGACAAGCTTATTCTAAAATGTATATGGAAAGGCAAAGAAAAAAGATTAGCTAAAAGAATCTTGACAAACAAGAATAAAGTGGGAGGAATTACTCTACCCAATATCATGGTTTACTATAGCTAACAGTAATCAAGTCAGTGTGGTATTGATTGAGGGACAGTCACAGAGATTAATGGAATAGAATAGAGGAACCCAGAAATAGAACACAATACAAAGGATTAGTATTCAGCATATAGAAAAACTTTCACAATTTGTGAGAAAACTACAGTCAAGAAGAAAAATAAGCAACTTATATGAACAGCAAATTCATATAAGAAATAAAAATGGCTAACATATCTATGAGATGTGAAATTCATTAGTAATTAAAAAATATAAATTTAAAATGAGATACTGTTTCATACCCATCAGACAGACCTAAATTAAGGTTGATAATACGAATGTGTTGGTGAGGCTGTGAGGAAACATGAACTCTCATATACTGCTAATAAGGTACTTTGGTGAGCTATTTGGTAATCTCTAATAATGTTAGAGATGGGTCTGACCCTCAGACTCAGCGGTTCTGAGTATATATAGAATTGCTACCCTAGGACAGCAGTTCTCAAAATGTGGTCTGTGAACCTTGAGGCCACCTGAGACCCTTTCAGAAATGTCAGGTCAAAACTGTTTTCATAACAACACTAACAAGTTATTTGCCTTGTTCACCATGTTAGGAAAGGCACTGGTGGGTAAAACTCCTGGTGTCTTAGCACAAGACAAGGCCGCGGCACCACACCATGCCAGTGATCATCACATTCTTCAACATATGACATTCCTTTAACCCTCGCAGTTGAAAGAAGTCAGTTTCACTTAAGCATGTCCTTGATGAAGCATTAAGAATGACTAATTTTATTAACTCTTGACCCAAAAGTACAAATCTTTTTAATAAAGCACTTGATAAAACAGAAAGAAGAACGCATACATGCTCCTGCCGCATACTGAAACATAAAGGCTGCCGCGAGGACAAGCCCTACGCAACTGAGCTGTGAGCTGAACTGGCCACTTTTTCACAGAATGCTACTTCAAAGTGGAGCTGGCAAACTATGGTCATGTAGACTTGGGTATTTGGCACAATTTCTTTAAAATAAATGATGTGAGCTTGTCACTTCAAGGAAAAATCTGGCAAGATTTGTTGCCAATGATAAAATTTGAGCTTTTAGGTGCAAGTTAAAGTTTTGAAAAACCTGTATCTTCCATCATGAGCTTTATTATCAACTTTTCTGATGACAATGGTGATGCTATCAATGAATATGATTTTTTTATATATCATATAACAAAATGTCAATATTTGGAAGATCTATGTAACTTAGTGAACCAATATTCCCCAAATGACTAATGCATGATGTTACAAACTCATAGGTGGGTAAAAGATTCATTTAAAGGACAAGACAAACCAATGGACTTAAATGTAACAGAGTATAAAATGTTGACTGATATGATTTCAGATAAAAGGCTATCCATGTTATCTGAAAAAGTTATTAAAATACTCATTCTTTTTTGTATCCTTAATACTTCATGTGAAATATTTTCTTCACATACTTCAACTAAAACAATATATATAGATTGAACGCAGTAGCAGATGTTTGGTGCCCAGTTGTCTCCTATTAAGTCAGACATTAAAGAGGTTTGCAACAATGTAAAACAATACCATTCATTCACTAATTTTGTTATTTGGCAAAATAATTATTTTTCATACAAAATATGTCCTTTAGGTACCATGTAATGGATTTACTATTGCTACATTGTTATTAAATAAAAATATTTTTAAATTGTTTTAATTTTGAATACAGTAAATACTATAGATATAATCCATAAAAATAAAAGCTCTTTAGAGTCCTCAATAATTCTTCAGAGAATAAAAGTGTCTTGAGATCAAAAATTTGAGAAGTACTGCCCTAGAAAAACTTACACAAGTGTGTAAAGATCTATGTACAAAGATGTCCACTCTTGTTTTATTTTAGAAATAAAAATTTACAAAGACTGCTCAGCTATTCTTCAGAAATATCCTTTGATTTCACCTCCACCATTCACTCCCACCATTACGGCCCTAATCATCCTACAACCAGACAATTCACTCCCACCATTACGGCCCTAATTGATCCTACAACCAGACAATGCCTGACGGTGCTGAGTAGACACTTCTGCTCAGTGTTTGCAAGTGATGAGCACAGACCACTACAGTGGCTTCTAACTAGCTGCTTCCACTCTTTTCTCTCCTCCAGGAACCTACCATCTTCTCAGCTCAACCCCACTGCAACCAAACAAGCTTCCAAGTGAGATGCCATTTGAACAAATTCCAAGCTTTTTTTTTTAGAAAAGGTTTAAAAAGCACTTTGTTAAATTCATCTAACCAATAATCAGAAAACCTAAACTATCACTTTCCTTCTTTCCCTTGAACAAAGGTTAAGAAATTCAATCATGACACCTCAACCAAAAGCAGTTCAGTTCCAACCAGTTTTGCAAAACCAAAGAATATTAAACTTTGGGATGTATCCACCCAGGATGAGGTCATCCAAATTGGCCTTTTGAAAAATGAGGAAAGCAACAAATCACACAGGTTACATCCAGGTTTCCCACTAAAAAATAGTAAAACTGTACGCTCGTCCAGGAATGGAAACTGTAAGATGTGGCTCTATCAGGGTGAGCAGAAATCTGGTGCAGAAGCAATAAGCCAGGAAGGAAGAGGAAGAGATGGATACTCTAAGATCTTTCTGGCAAATAAACTTAATTGCATAGGATTTCATACTTCTCGGGACTATCTCATCACCTTATCTTTACCTCCACTACAAACGTGTCGATAATGTGCTCCTGGGGAAGGAACCAGTGGGCTACGTCCTCTTCATCCATCACTGGAGCTAGATGAAACTGCTTCAGGTAACCGTTGATTAATTCTTGAACTGCTCTGATATCTTTTGGTTCCATCGGTCTCAAACCTGAAGTCTTTGGAACCTTGTGAGAAGGAAAACAAAAATCCAGAGGTTTACATATAAGAGGAGTAGAAGTCTTTCACACCGCAGACTGGCATCACACAGTATCGGCATCACACAGTATCAGCATCACATAGGAGCTTGTTAGAACTGCAGTCTTGGCCCTGCCCCAGACCTAGTGAATCAGAAACTGCAAAGCAACACGATTCCCTTGTGCTTTGTACACACGTGAAAGTTTGAGAAACACTGGGTTAAAATATAGGCTAGACAACGTGTTGTATCTTTTTGAGAAGCTTGTTTTATTCAATAGCCCATGAAAAGAGTGTAGCGATTTTGCTCTCTGGAACAAAAATAATATAAGAGTAATCATACTGGACAGGACGGGAAGGCAAGCATTTTAATAAGCAGGTATTTTCTAAAGGCCAGTGGCTGCCAAGTACCAGGCCTGGCCTCTCCTGCCATATCTTTTGATTCAAAGGTAATTAGAGTGGGAATTTAATCATCACTCCAGAGCTTTATAACTTTAAACTTAGGCCATTGGAATAAAAAGCCTAAAGGTCAGGACAAGCCCCCACTTGAATCTGTTCAAGTGTTTGTCCTCAGAAAAGCTCCTGACATCACTTGGCTCTTTAGAACTGTTGAGATGCCAGGGTGCTTGAGACTAGAAGTGAGAAAGACCAACAAACAAAAATTAAAAACTGAGAAATACAGTCTCGATTTTTCCAGCCAACTTGATTTTTTCCCTTGGAGAAATACTGTATAAATTTTAAGAGATGAATAATTTCTATATAAATATTGCTACTCTACCTTTTCTGCCCCACATGATTTCTAAATACTTTAAAATAAAAAACTTCTTGTCGAATTAGATCATCACAATTTCTGCATGCCCCAGGTAGAAGCCCAAGGAGGAAAATCGGTTTTTATCATGAGTATCATGAGCTCTGATGACTGTTAGTAGTAGTGCTGAGGTTTCTAAGACTCAGTGACAAATAGTGCTGATTGATTATTGATTAGTCTGTAGAAGAGGAGGAATGGGAGATGCAGGCTTTATATTTACAGACCCAACAGTCCTTAGCTGACTATTTACTGTGAGCCATTCAAGTATGATTTATGTCATCTATAAAGATATAGTACTGCAGCTGAAATGCCATTTAATAATCTAAATTTAAAGAATTTAAGTCCTTAACATTTAATAAACAATTCATACTTTTAGAACTTTTTATGGCTCTCAAAGCCAGGGTCAGAAATATCCAAGTCCTAACTGCAAATACATGAAATAAATAACACATTTCTAAATGTTAGTAGGAACACCAAAACTTGTAAAGTCATTTTTTTTTTTTTTTTTTTTTTTTTTTTTTTTCT